TTTTTATGTAGTATTTTTGCAACTAAGCGTTTTGCACTTACATCGTTTTTGTTGCTCTACGTTAAAAAATGACAAAAAAAAATTGTGCTAAGGAACAAAATAGTAAATACCAAAATGTTTATTTGACAAAGTACTTTCAAAATTTTTTATTATGAATCGATAATTTCCAAAAGAAACTTGATGAAATCATTTCTGTCAGTCATCGTTCGAAATTTTCTTGCAGCTTCTTGCTCGGTTCAGTAAAATACCGCCGGTCTATATAAATATTGACAAAACCAACAAAGTTGCCATTCAGCACTGAAAGTTTTTCGTAATGGGCCGTTTTTCCGATAAAGTTGTAATTGTTACTGGTAAGGATTGAAGTATGGAATACTCTCATTAAAATAAATGTCTTTTTATTTTGTTTCTGGTTTTCATGTGTTTAAGATTCAAACAAATTTGTTACCTTAAACAAAGAGTGCCAGTCACCACCTGTCAGAGAGTCAGCATTTACTTGCTGTACAGTCGTCTTTATTTCAGTCTTTTTTCTTGTGTCGTAGAGTGAACAAAAAAGTTTTACTTTTTTGTTTGTTTGTACTTGGAGCGGTTTTTTCAAACCTTTAATTTCTTTATCGTTTAGAATTCTTTTTCAAACAGTGTTACTTTGCACAGAAACTTTTACTGCTAAGCAATAAAGTTTAGGTTCCAGCAACGGAATTGGAAGAGCTGCGGCAGTCCTTTTTGCAAAAGAAGGAGCTAAATTAACGATTACAGGACGAGATGAGAAAGCACTTGAGGTTGAATATATATTTATATATTAAAATAAGTCTGTTCGCTTCCAGTAACACTGACAGAAAGTTTTAAAGCTACGGTTAGGCAAGGGTTTAGAAGAATGTCTTTGAGAAGAGATAAATAACAGATTTTTAGGCTGCTCGTTAAAATCTTTTGGAGACATTTAGATTTTTTTGGACACAGATTAAAAGGAGTATAGTCATCTTTAGGAAACCTGTCTCAAGCAAAGCATCAAAAAATCAAGGTAACTATAGCACGTTTGCTAAGCTGATTTCCATATAAAGTCGATGCCTGGTGACTACCCCTAAAACTTTGCCCTTATCAAGGAGTTAGTGCATATATTTAGCTGCCGACTTTTAGTGTTCAGTCTGAGTGTCATTGTCATTTTTTTTAAACCACTGTCATTAGAAGCTACTTTATTTACTCTTTATTGCAACTTCGGTAAGAAAGTGATTGAGGCGATTCACCTTCAGTCAGTTGTGACGGACATTCCGTATTTCTCAAGACTGACCGGTTCAAAAAAGTTCAGGCGCGCTTATAGATTTCAATTGTATTATTCAGGCATATTCCAGGAAACGAAGTCAGAATGTTTGAAGGCCGGTGCAAAGGACGCTGATTTGTTATCAATAATTGGGGATATTACAATCGAGGAGATTCAGAATAAGCTAATTGATGAAACAGTGAAAAAATTTGGCAAATTGGATGTTTTGGTAAGCATTTTACTTCTGGTTAACTTAAAAACGTTGTGGAAAGCTACTGACTTTGTTCAAGAGTATTTTCTGGAGCTAATTCAGCTAGATAATGGCGGCGATTTCATTTTGAAAAGATGTGGGATTAAACAAGCTGAGAATAAATGAGTTAGATTATAGCCAATCGCTATAAGCCTTCTTCTCTTTCTTAGAATATCCGCTGCAATCTTTCACTGCTTTCATCTTACTGTTGGAACGCCAACTTTAATTGCCTTTTTTTGCTTTTGCAAGGCTTTTAGACGACGAGTTTTTCCAAATATATAACCCGTTCATTATGGCTTTTTCTTGGCTATAATGTTGTTCAAATTTTTATCAAACTTTTTAAAATCTCGAAGGAAAGTTTACGACACACACTAACTTTGCCACTCGTTATTATGTTTTTTGCAGTACAGGAACGGTATTTCCTAATAGTAAGTGCTCATTTAGAGTACAGAATTTTGGATTGTAATTTTGTTAATTGACATATTTTTATTTATCATTTCTGAAGACAAGTGAGAGCTGCTTGAAAATGACAAGAAAAGCCTATATTGCTGATATATGGTTTTCAACGTTTTAGGTAAATAATCATGGAGGCGCTTTCCAAGAGCGAGATAGCACAGGCAAATATCTTCTTGACGTTTTTGATAAGACTATTAATCTTAACTGCAAAAGGTGTTTTTTATATAGATTTTGAAATATCACTTTTACTAGTCAGACCCTTTGTTTTGTAAGTCTTTTATTTTGGGGTTTTTGACAGCGAAGTGTTGCAATAAAAAAAAAATTTTTTTTACAGTTCGCTTGCGATGAGTGGAAAAGCAATGTCGCACCTCAAAGCCACGAAGGGCTGTATCGTAAATGTAAGCAGCATAGCTTCTAAAATGGAGGTACGTCTGTCCGTTCTTTTACCTGGCTTTTTCAATGAATTTAATACTTATTCAGCTCGTTTATTCAGGGAAGGATACTATTTAAAATGCTAAATTTGAGGTTTTCAGGGCGCTCCACACGTTTTTTACGCAGCAGCAAAAAGTGCTCTGGATCATATTACTAGGAATTTAGCTTTAGAGAATGCCAAAAGTGGAGTTCGCATAAATGCAGTAAAGTAAGGGACATGATAATGGAAATGTATTTGTTTCATCAAAGTTAAGAAAATGTGAGCAGTAGCATTATTTGTACGTAACTGCAGCTAGGACAGCGACTTCGGTGCTGTAGCGTATGAAGCGGGAATTCAGGAAGTTGTTGTCACAGATTTCTTAGGCTCTTCAGATTGTACACCACCTTGCGACTAACAGGCTTTCAGAGTTAGTTTAGTAATGATATTCAGCACCAGGCTGGTTTAGAGGAAGCAGTAGGTTTTAAGCAATTTTTTTGTTCCTTACAGCGATATTCGACAGTTTCTACTTAATGAATTCGCGGAATAACTGCACATCGGCGTTCTTTTTTAAATGTAAACAAAATTCTTGCAAAATTCGCCAAAGTTTCACTTAATATCGCGAAGTATAAAAAAGCATCTTTGTTTTTTCATTTTAACAAAGTTTAAGAAGCCTTAGCGCGTAGTTTTAGAGTCATTTCGCCATTATTTTGCTATTAACTCCTGCTAGTAAAGACTTAAGTTCACCCTTTGCATTAAGTGCCTATGCATACTTGTAAAGTTTGAAACTACTTCGCAATCATTATTATTCCAATGACGATTCTGTCAAGAAACCGTCTAGTTCCAAGCCGTAGAAGGGATTATTCGGGTGAAGGTACTTTATCTTTTACATTTGGAAGTCTTTTTAAGGAGGAATTTGAAGAAGTTAGAAGCAGTTATCGGTTACATTTAATTGCAAAATGCGCATTAAGCGTTTTTTGATTTAATGGGGGGCTTCAAATAGTGAATGAAGGCTGCAGAACGGTATACATTTGTTACATTCACTCTTTATGCTTGTTAAATGTGATCTAATTTGAAGACTGATTTTTAATTTTTTAGCCCAGGAGTAATCAAAACACAGTTTATGAAAAAACTAGGTTTTACAGACGAAGCTATAGAAAAAGTAAGTTTTGCAAGTGTGCTTATGAACGGTAGTTGTAGTAAATTTTAAATTATTCTTTAAAATTTAATTTTAATAAAGGAGTACAAGAGGATATTATTTAGACCCTGAAGGTTGTAACTGAAGAATCGATTCCAATTGGACGATTTGGAGTCCCGGATGATATTGGGCACATGATACTGTTTTTGTCAGATAATATAACAGCCGGGTTTATTACGGGGCAAACGTTTGTTGTTGATGGAGGAACAACGTTGACGAATCCCTGGTACAACAATCCGCGTATGGCAGAACTTATGAAACATTAAAGTTAATTAAGCTTGCGAATAACATGTTTAGGAATTTAGTATTCTAAGCAACTGACGGTGGTTTTTCAAGAGCTGGTGCATTTCTTAGTTACACAAAGCAAAATTTTTAATAAAATACTTTAATGTTTTTTGATGTTGTTCTTCCTATTTAAACAACACAACTTTCATGAAAAATATTCCCCAAAGTGTCTGTGTATTTTTGATAAAGATTCGACAGATAGCTGCTTTTATAAAGCTTATAGTGGCTTTACTGGAAAACGTACTTTTTCCACCAGCAATTTAGTACTGGCCTAGAAATGATTATGGGTGACAGCCAGCGCACGTTTCGATTTTTATTTTGGATATTAGCATATCCGGGATTCATCATCTAACTTGTTTGCGAAGTCAGTAAATGTGTAAGTTAGGTGATTAGACTGTAACTGCAACATATTTTTATATGAGTGTTTCGAGCAGTGAAAATCTTTAGAACGAGGAAAAATGGAATAGGAGTTAAGAGGTAATAAGGTAAATGGAAAATTGAAGAGGTAAATGGATGTGCATGCGATGTAATTCTTTAAGCTTGAAGTTGGACACTGTTTCTCGAATTCATATTTATGGCTGCTAATATGGTTCAATTCGAGAGACAAAGTTTAGTTTTCATTTTTCGCCTAATATAGTTCTTGTTCTCAAACAGCTAAGAGTATACTGAGGAATAAAAAAGGTGACAAAGAGTAACAAGTTATCGATGACTGAGAAAAAATATAGAAACATAAAAGTGAAAACGGCATGAGAGTTCGAATCAAAGATAGAACTGTTTTTTTAAAACTGTTTGTTTATTAATTTCAGACTAGTTTGTATAATGTTTCAAGTTTGAAACTTTTGACCATTTCGCCGTGCTTTTCGATATCTTTGTCACTGATGTCAGTGTTTCACTTTTGTTTAATTTCTTACGCAACTGTTTTATGTGTTGATTGATTAGCCGTTAAGAAGGCTTTCTCTTTATAACGCTGACAACATGAAGAAAAAAAATAAATTTCTCAGCAAATATTTTTTTTATTTGGTATAGTTTTGTTAAGCATTGTCTGCATTCTCTTTTGTTTCATAACTTTTGGTACTGCTTTCGGGTTGCAGTAAAAAAGGTTAAATATAAAATCACCGTTATTGGATCGTTGAAGAAACTCATAACAGGTCGCTATCAAAAACAATAATCATCACCAGTTAGGTTCTGCAACAAAAGAATATTTTACACAATTAAGAAGTTAAATTCTGTTTTGTAGTTTTACTTTTGTTTCTGATTTTAACGCTTTCTAACACTTTCTGTAGTCTCCAAAGCTAAGGTACTGTTGTAAAATTTTTTTGGTCAATCTTAAAAATTGGTCGAAAAAAAAACAAATCTTTATAGCGTACCTGTAGTTTTCTATTACTTTCACAATTTGATATCTTGAAAAAATTGCAATGCAAAATATTTTTTGTTTCACAGCTGAATGATGCATTCACTTCTTCTCAAAACGCATTTTTTTCTAGAAAATGTGAATAGTAAAATTTAGGTTTATCTGGCAAACTTGGTAGTGTTACAGCAGCGGTGATTGCAAAAGATGATGCTAAAGTGGTGGTTGTTAGGTTAAGCAAAAACAAACGTCTTGCGGTGAAATATTACTACTACAAAGATATCTGTTAACATTATTGGTAAATTTCTTAAAATGTCTGTATGTGATACTGAATACCCGAAATATTTCATACCGCAAAAGTGGACTGTGTGAAATTTGGTGGAAAAGAAACCGTGACAGTACTGACAATGAAAATCGAAGTGAATCAATCAGTAAAGTAAAAATTAGTGCCTACTTAGGTGTTTTATTATTTATTTATGATTCAATAATTTGATTACAATTGAGAATTGCGAGACAATTCTTTCATATTTCTGTGAGTACGTCTTCGTTTGATAAAATCAGAGTTGTTCTGAGTTAAATAATTCTCATTTTTGAAAGTGAGTCATTCTAGAAATTGCTGGAAATTTTAGGTATTATTTTTTCGTTTCTTTTAAAGCAGGAAATCTGAAAGAATTTCGATTTGCGACAAAATTCTTGTAGTGTTAACAGTGCTATATTAGTGAGAAGTTCCAACGAAGGTATTTTGTATTCTTGGATGGTTGGGCGAAACAGAGGTATGATTCCTATGAAAAAACTATGTAAGAGGTTTATTAAACAGTAAAGAAGAGCGGCTTGACCATATTCACGATTCATTACTGTCGGTAGTCACAGCGGTCTTTTGAAAATAGTTAAAAAACAAAATCGTTGTGATGTTAATGAAACTGCCAAAAAAATCGTTACGTACTTTGGAAGGCAAAGATGTTTTTTGTAGCCTCCTTTTAGCGCAGTAATGTACAAAATTTTTTTGGTGGTTTAGATTCAATGATTTTACAAAGATTTAAAGCAGTGTTCTCTCGAAAAGCTTTAAAAAGTTTCTGCTATGATTTTGAATTTTCGTTGGTACAGACGGCAGCCCAGTAGCGAAGGATACGGATTGGTTGTATCCACTTTGAGCGAAGCTGAAGCAGGTTTTGGTGAAACGCTGAAGGCGGCACTTGTCTACATCAACTTCAAATGTGTTTGGTTTGAAAGTTAAAATCAGTTTTCTGTAGATGCATCTTTCTGAAGCAAATTGGACGTGAGACGTTTGACTTTTACGTAATTGGGCTTTATTCTCTCGTCTTTAGTAAGGTTTCTTCGAGTTTTCTATATAAGCGAGATAAGAACAGTCCACGTGATGCGAAGAGCAATCATGGAAAACTGTCTTTGGACACTGTTTCCATTGCATTTGAAAGTGTAGAAAGTTGCTAAATTAAACGACTTGCTTTTTATGTCACCAGTTAAGTTTTTTAACGTTGAAAAATCTTCCAATCTGATAACAAACACGTGCTTTTCGAGTTTCTTTTTTCTTTTTCCACTTTATTCGTGTAGCTGGTGAATCTTGAGTTTGCAAAAAACATTCTGATACTCGTGCAGAAGACTTAGACATTTTGCTATAGCTTGCAACCTCTAGAAGACTTAGCTTTTTTTTTTTTTGTACCTTTTGCCAAATTAATTTTTGCCGATTAGTCATCCTAATTTACCGTCCCCTTTTTAAAAAAAATTTTTGATTAAAAAATCAAAATTTTAATTAGTTTTTAGCAAACATTGGCCAGAACAATTTTGTATTTCAAATCACTTTACACTATACCATGAAAATTCTTTGACAGTTTTTCGATTACTTGTGACCTTAAGTTTGATAGCAGTTGTTTTGTGGTGTACTTTCTGTTTGGTTCTTTATTTTTGATTCGTTTACTTTTTTTTTTTTTTGTTTTTTGCAGTAAGGTCATTTTTTTTTAACGGTTCATTGCCATCAGCTAACTGTGTGATTATACTACATAGAAGTGAAAAGAATCTGTGAATGTGCATAGTTTTTGTGTTTTACAGTCATCTAAACAATCTTGCACAGTGCTTTTTTTTCTATATTGTAACCAATTTTATCAACTTGTGGTCATATATTTCTGTATTTGAAACATAATTTTTTTCTACATTAAAGAAAGCTATGAAATTTTAATAAAAGAGAAATTCCGAAATGACAATGCGATTCTTTTAAAGACTTTTCAAAACTTTTTAATAGCGAATCGCACCAACCATGTAACGAAGTATTGCGGAAATTATTTTGTTTCTCGTTGACTTCTTCTTTTTCTTGCAGTTCCTTCTCACTCATTCCACATAAACATTGACAAAGCTGACGTGAATACTATCGCGCTGAGAGTTGCTAGTAATGGGTCGTTTCTCTGATAAAGTTATAATTGTTACCGGTAAGGTTTAAAGCATTTTACCAAATGAAGTGCTTTTTCTTTCGTTTCTGCTTCTGAAGTAATTAATGCTTAAACAAATCCCTAGGATTAAAAATGAACCTTCTAAAAAACCGAGACTTAATTCCTGAATAGTTGCCAATATTTTAACTTTTTTCTTTCGCACCGTGAAAGAGAAGTTTCATACCCTATTTTGTTTGCAATTGGAAAAGTTTGTACAAAATTTTAATTTGCTTATCGTTAAGAGTTCTTTCTTGAACAGTGTTATTTTGCACAGGAATTTTTGCCGCTAAGCAACAAAGTTTAGGTTCCAGCAACGGAATCGGAAGAGCTGCAGCAGTCCTTTTTGCAAAAGAAGGAGCTAAACTGACGATTACAGGACGAGATGAGAAGGCACTTGAGGTTTAAAATGTTTATATTAGTTTGCTTTTTATTGACAGGAACTAAATATTTTCGTAAAACTTTGTAATAAAAGGTTTAATAGAGCTTGTTCAGGTTTTTAAAAAAGGAAGAAATTAAGGTTCTTAGATGTCCTATAGTAATTAGGCAGTGTTCTTCAAAAGCAGTGTAGGGTCTATTTTCATGCACAAGGAGATGATCAGCATATCAAGAGAAACTCAGTTATCCACACGCGTTTACAATTATTTAAAATTCATGAAATTGTATTGGCTGTTACAAATACAACCTTACGAAATTGAGATACCTTTGAACAGGCTTCTCTTGATACCTAGGCAAAGTGGATTTTTTGTCCTGCAAATTGGATCACCAGTTCGGAATTTTCTTCAAGTAGTTGACTCTCTATTAACCAAGTTTCAATCTGAACTGCTACGAGGTATCAAATGAATATCCTAAAAACTGAGTCTTGACAGCAGCTGGAAAAAGTTTGAGTTTTCAAGGCGACAATGTCCGAAGTCTACTGGAAGTTTCTACAAACTTTTCACGCTTCATTTCTAACCATGTTCCCTTCATTTGTTTTTTGGATGTTTGACAACGTTCTGTCAGCCGGTTCAAGCCTCTGGGTTTTGTAAAAACATGGAAGTAACCTAACAGGATTTCTTAAAATTGGCATATACTGTTGTTAGATGCAAAAGATACCAACCTTCTTACTGGTCAGATATTTTATGCAGTTATTACTTTAACAACTGTTTATTTGGAATAACTTTTAATTAGGGTTCTTAGCATCAGCGTTGATCTTCAATATTACGTCCCCTTAATCTTTTTTTTATTAGAACTCACTGCTTTTATAGCGTAAAATCTTCTTTTAATTCTCTCACCTGCAGCGTAGGTGGGAGGTTGATTAAAACGCGTCTTTACTTTTTTTAAGCATTTCACTATGCAGAAAAATTTCAAGATAGGATGAGGATCTTTCTTATCCTACCAACAGAGAATGTGAGTTATCACGTTTCAGCGTCAGAAATAAAATGTGTTTCAGGTAACAAAATCTGAATGCTTAAAGGCAGGGGCAAAAGATGCCTATTTGTTGTCAATAATTGGAGATATTACAAATGAGGAAATTCGGAGCAAGCTTATTGATGAAACAGTGAAAAAATTTGGCAAATTGAATGTCTTGGTAGGTATTTTAACTTTATTTCACTTAATTCCGTTCTTGACAGCTTCTGACTCCGCCTAAGAGTATTTCCTGGAGCTGTTCCAGTTGGGTTATGGTGGCAGTTTTATTTGGAAAACGGTAAGGGATTAAACAGATTGAGAATAACTGAGTTAGCTTGCAGCTAACCGTTATGGGCGTTTTTCGCTTTTTTAGAATATCTGCTGCATTCTTTCACTGCTTTCATCTTACTTTTAGAACGCTAACCTCAAATGGTTTTCTTGCTCGTTCGAGGCTTCTGTATGACAAGTTGTTCCAAGCACACAGTCTATTCGTTTTTCTTGGCTCTAGTGTTTTCCGAAATTTTATCATTTTTTAAATTCTGGAAGAAAAGTTCACGCTGACTTTGTCAGTCGGTATTAAATTCTCGGCAGAAGAAAAAGGGTCTTTTCCGACAGCAAGTGCTCATTTAGAGTGCAAAAAACTGAAATGTAATTTATTAACTGACTTATGTCTATTGATCACTTCTGAAAACAAGTGACAGCTGTTTGACAATGACAAGAAAGGATAATGTTGCTGATATGTGGTTTTCAATGTTTTAGGTAAATAATCATGGAGGTGCTTTCCATGAGCGAGACAAGACAGGAAAATTTCTGCTTGACATTTTTGATAAAACTATTGATCTTAACTGCAGAAGGTACTCTTTATGTAAACTTTGAAAAACAGCTTTTCTCAGTTAGACCCTTTGTTTTTTGAATCTTTTCTTGTTGAGTTTTTGACAGCAAAGTGTTCAAATAAAAAAAAAGAAAAAATGTTCTTTACAGTTCGCTTGCGATGAGTGAAAAAGCAATGTCGCACCTCAAAGCTACGAAGGGCTGTATTGTAAATGTAAGCAGCATAGCTTCTAAAATGGAGGTACGTCTGTCTGTTTTTTTATCTGTTTTTTCTCAATAAATTTAACAACTATTTAGCCTGCTTATTCAGGAAAAGATCAGTAATTTGAAGAGTAGAAACTGGGTTTTCAGGGTACCCCAGCCATATTCTACGCAACGGCAAAAAGTGCTTTGGATCATATCACTAGGAATTTAGCTTTAGAGAATGCCAAAAATGGAGTTCGCATAAATGCTATAAAGTAAGATATGCAGCAAGGAAGTGCATTTCTACAGTCACAAACATAAGAAAATGGACACTTTTTGTGGTAATTGTCGTAGGTATTGTGAGGTTTTTTTTAGAAAATGGTTCAATATTTGAGTTTGAAAGAGATAATTCAAGAAGGCGGGAAGAATTTTTTTGTTACGTTTTGAAATTTTTGTTAGAGCTCTCTTTATTGAGTTTTTTAGTCAGGTGAGCCAGTTATCGCTGAATTTTGGTAAGGCTCGAAAATTACATTTGATTGCACAAAATATAAAGAAATTTGAAAGCTTTCGATCAAATAAATGTCAAGTAGTGGAGGAATACTACAGAACATTTTAATTGTATCGCTTGAGTTTGCAATACTTTTCAAAGATCGAATAGTCTGGAAATAAATCTTTAATTCTTCAGCCCGGGATTAATCGAAACGCAGTTCCTAAAAAAGATGGGTTATACAGACGAAGCTGTAGATAAAGTAAGCTCTTCTATAACGGAAAATGTGTTTGTGTATTTATGAGTGATAATTTTAGTATATTGTGCACCATTCTTTGAAAATTTTTTTAGTGACGGAAAGCATAAAAATGTCATTTAGACCCTGAAAGTTTTCACTGAAGAATCAATTCCAATTGGACGGTACGGAGTTCCGGATGATGTAGCTCACATGATATTATTTTTGTCAGATAATGTAACAGCCGGGTTTATTACGGGGCAAACGTTTGTTGTTGATGGAGGAACGACGTTGACGAATGCTTGGTACAAAAATCCGCGTATGGCAGAAATTATGAAACATTAGATTTAATTACTGTCTTGAAAAAATCAGTTAGGAATTCAGCACGCTAAAGAACTGTGAATGATTTTTACACAGTAGACGCATTTGGTAGTTTATTAAGTCAAATTTTCAAATAAAACAGTTTATTATTGTTTGGTTTGTTGGCACTATCATCTCGAACACCACAGGTTTTTGTCAAGATAATCGTCATGGTGCTTACTCGTTAATGATGAATATTTGACGAATGGTTACCTTCTCAAAGACTAGCTGAAACGGCATGCCTGAAAGGTCTCCGTTTTCATTCAGCATAAACACCGATCAGGAAATTAAAGTAAACCAAGAGTATTAAGCCTCTGGTACGACACAGCGCTAGATTCGAGCTTCCTTACCAAAATAAACTTTTTGAGGGGTTTTTGAAAACCATGAAAAATATTTGATAGTCTAGGTTTTATATAATTTAAGTTATAAGTGGTATATATATATTTATTTGTTTACTTATTTATCACTAACGACGGAGACAAATGAAGGAGAAACGTAAAAGGAGTAATTGGTTGGAATTTTTCTATTGTGTGGCAGGAAGAACTACAATTGAGCATTCTGCTACTGAGGACTACAAGCTATAAAGTTGTCGATTTTCTGTTAAAATTCACTCCACCGTGTTAGAAATATAAGATGAAAAGGTCACATATAGAAATGTCTGTGGTATATGCGGACTCCGACAGTTTAACCATTCTTAGTCTTATTTCAAAAGAATGATAAGATTACAAAAGCTCACTTTTTTCCTTATGTCACTAAACATTTTTGCTATTTAATGATGTATTTTGTTTTTAGGTTTTAAGAATAGTCAAGACTTGTATTCTAGTGTATTTGAACAATCGGTAATTGCTAAATCAAAAAATAAAAGTCTAAGTTTTAAGCGGTTGCAAATTATTTTGATCTATCTTAGTGTATCTGTATGATTGCAACAGAATACACTTCTTCAAAAATCACTTAGTCTGTTTTTTTTTTTTTTTTT